TCAAAGAAGCTACTCCAAAACTTTTCTTTTCTCCTCAAAATTCTCGTATAAATCTTCTTACCTACCATATCAGCACTGGACCCCGCCTAATTCTTACTGAGGAAATAAAAACAATTCACTCTGAGCTCCCTCTTTTCCTTACCCTATATCTCAGACTTCTCAACCCATCATTGAGTTACCTTGATATCAATTCTCTTATCCTTTAATTCAGTATCCAGTGAAAAAATGACCTTACTCCCCAATAAATATCTACTTGTACCTTTTATCCTATCCTCTCCCATCTTTACCAGCAGATTGTCCCCCACACTCCACCAACACAGTCCTTCCCTTTAACACATTTCTTGATATCTATTGACTCCTTTCTTGCTACCTACAAACATGCCCGTGTCTTCTCCATCCTTAAAATAAAAAAAAAAAGCAATCCTTACCTTAATCTGCCAATCCCTGAACTTATCATCCTAGATCTCCTTTCACAGTGAAACTCATAGAAAGAGGTATCTATACTGGTTGCCACAACTTCATCTACTCTCAACTGCATCCCAATTCTTTGCAACAGATCTTTCAACCTTATCACTCAAGTGAAATGTTCTTTCCAAAGTTACCATTGATGTCTTAATTGTTCATTCCAACAGCCTTTTCTTAATCTTCTTTCTCCTCTTTTATTATTTTCTGTTTTAATTTTCAATTTTTTCTCATTTCCATGTAAACAAAATCTTTTTACATTCTTTTTTAAATTTTGAGTTATAAATTCTCTCCCTCCCTCCTTACCTTCCCCCTCCTTGAGAAAGCAAACAATTTGATATAGATTATACATGTACAATCATGCAAAACATTTCCATATTAGCTATGCTGCAAAAGAAAATGCAGACAAAAAAAGAATAATAAAGAAAGTTAAAAAGTATGCTTCAAACTGTCATTCACAGTTGATCACTGAACAATATTGTTGTTATTATGTACAATGTTCTCCTGGTTTTGCTCAGTTCATATGTAATTTCTTATAGCACAAAAGTGTTCCATCACAAACATAAACCACAATTTGTTCAATCATTCTCCAATTGATGGGCATCCCCTCATTTTCTAATTCCTTGCCAACACAAAAAAAAGAGCAATTACAAATATTTTTGCACATTGAGGTTCTTTTCCTTTTTTTTTTTTTTTTGGTCTCCTCAGGATATAGACCTAATAGTGCTTTTTAAGGCATCCTTCTTCTCAGTCAACTTTGATACCTCTTTTCCATTTGACCAATTCTATTTTTTAAGATGATATTTTCTTCACTACTTTTTGTATCTCTTTTTACCAAGCTATTGATTCCTTTCATAATTATTCTCATTTCTTTTCCCAATTTTTCCTCTATCTCTCTTATTTGGTTTTTTTTTTTTTTTTTTTTTTGGTGAGGCAATCAGGATTAAGTGACTTGCCCAGGGTCACACAGTTAGTGTCAGAGGGCAGATTTGAACTTTTCTCTCTATAATTCTCTTGGTGATCTCATCAGCTCCCATGGGTTCAATTATCAACTCTATACTTCTATATATAATCTCTTCCTGGACTCTAGTTTCACATCATCAACTGTCTAATGGACATTTCCAACTGGACACCCTACAAGCATCTCAAACTCAACATGTCCAAAATAAAACTCATTTCCTTCCTTCTAAAACCTACCCCTCTTCTGAACTTTCCTGTTTTTGTCAAGTATACAATCATCCAGTCACCCAAGTTTGCAGCAGCCTTCTTATTTTGGAGATGTTGTCACTCAACTTTATAGGTTGCCTTTCCCCATTAGAATATAAGCTTCCTGAGGCAAGGAATTGTCTTTTTTGCTTTTATTCGTATCCCCAACACTTAGCAGAGTGCCTGGCACATAATTAACATTTAATAAATATTTTATTGATATATCTCTGTATTATCACTGATTCTTCATTTTCTATTACCCTACACATGCAGTCACTTGCTAAGTGCTGTTGATTCAACCACCATATATATAGAATCTATCTCCTCTCTACTAATTCAGCACTCTGGTTCAGGCCCTCATCATCTTTCATCTCTTCTTCCTGACTTATATTTTATTTTAGGAGATACGAACAATATGTAGCAGGTTTTAGGAATGACTCCCCTCCTCTTACCTGCTATTTTATTGTTACATTATTAATTCTCATCCTGGTTTCTAAGACAATCAAGGGCTATGTTCTCACATTTCCCCATAAATTACTAAAATTGCAATAGCCCTCTAATTAGTCAATTAGCCCTGAATCTTTCCTCAGTTTATTAAAAATTATTAAACTGGATAAATCTCTTTCCTCATAAGCTTCCTCTCCTGTCTTTTCCTGTCCTCTTGTCTCCCCTTATTATCTTTTAGTTTTAAAAAAATCAAGGGCGCTGATTCTATAATTACAACATTATGAAAATGTAACAGACAATATAACAAAGAGAAATAATTGTATGCAATGTATCTGTTGGGAGACAGGAAGACCATAGGCAGAATGAATCACTTTTTCAAATCCAATTGGAAATTCAAAATTACACAGACAGTTAGTGGAACAGTCATAGTCAATTAGAAGTTAGATGTGATTATGGTGAGAGTATTTTCATTTGAGTAATAAAATCAGAAATTAGATGGCAGGGGCTGAGAAGTAAGAAGAAAGTAGTATAAATGGTCTCCCCTCTCCCTCTCCCCCCCAGTTGAATTCCAAATTAAATGCCAAAGTCTCTTCCCAAGAATTAACTTCATAATATTTATTTGTAAGACAAGAATTAAACTCAATTCTCACAAATGTCTCTTCAGATTTTTTCTCCTTGACGGTTAAATCACTCATCTCACAGGAAAGAAGTCCTTATTCTATCTGTAGACAGTCTTCCACAGGCATCACAGTTAATAGTATCTCCAGAATGAGAGTTAAACTCCCCTTCATCTCATAGACTTTTCACAGAAAACAGATGAACGGTAACTCCCCAAGATTCCATTCACTATTAAAGATATAGTAACAGTATCCAAGTCCCTGTGGAAGGGGCTTTTGAAGCTAGGGTTACATGTGAACAGTGCTTAGCAATTTTTCTAAACAATAGAACACAAAGAGGCTACCCAAACAACCCAGCCACAAAGTGAGAAAAAAGTTCATCAATAAACTTGATGGAATTATAGAGCATTGACCAATGGATAGACAACTGACTGGGAACACTGGCTGTCTGTAGGATCAGTGATGCCCTTGGTAGTCTTTTAAAAAGTAATAGTGAGCTCTTAGGTGGCAATTTGCTTTTCACTTTTTCTGTTGTGTCTCGCAGTGAAAGCAAGCCGGGGCGGGGGGGGGGGGGGGGAGGGCAGGATTCTTTCTCTTTCCTCCCATCCTTCCATCAATAATGACATCTTATAGCGCAAACATTGTGGTAATGTCAAATGGAGAGGAATACATCTGAAAAGTCAGGTTGGTAAGAGGAATTGAGAGGCTGGTGCCTGAAGTGGCAATTCTGCTCAGCAGATATTAGGCCTGAAAACTGAAATTCCTGGTGGTACTAGGATATGGGTTCTGCTTCTTCCTAAAAATGCATAGTAGCAAACTAGGTCAGGATTTTGGCTAAGCCTGAAGTTGGAGATAGTGCAGGCCATGCTTAAGCATTTGAGCCACATGCCCTTCCTAGGACCAGGAAAGAGCCTAGGACCAAAAGAGCCCGTTGCAGTGATTTACCCAACAGAGATATGCTATATCCCATGAAGAGCAAAGGGACTTTAGTGGGCTTTAAAGGCACAAATTGTTTTAGTAACATATTCCCTACTGATGTGCTTTTCCACAATGAACTCTCTGAGTGGCTAGTCTTCCTACTGATGCTGTTTGTATTGCTATTATAATACCTCCCAGGTTTATGAAGTGTTTTTTGTTTTGTTTTTTTGCTGCTATTTTTTCCTACTATGCCTTTACTTTGAGCTAATTGTGTCCTGTGGACAGCTAGGTGGTGCAGTGGGTCCATGGATAGAATGCTGGCCTGGAGTCAGGAAAACCTGAGTTCAAATGTGCTCTCAGATGCTCTCTGTGTGTGACCCTTGGGCAAATCACTTAACCCTGTTTGCTAGTTTCCTCATCAGTAAAATGAGCCGGAGAAGGAAATGACAAACCTCTTCAGTATCTTTGGCAAGAAAACCCCAAATGGGTCAGGACTGAACAACAACAAATTGTGTCCCATGGCTAACTACAGAAGGATAAACACACTGGAAGGATTTGGGGAGGGGAGGGTTTGGGGGGTAGGAAGGGAGTGGATCGTTGTGAGTTTATAAGTATAGACCTACAGAGTGCAGTGGCCGAGTTTCCCAAGGGATCCAGTGCCAGTTAGAGAGGGAAGGCAGGGCAAAGAGGGTGGCTATGTATGTAAAGTGCTTTGTAAGCAAGTGCTACAAAGCTGTTTATTATTATTACAGACTGTTATTATTACAACCCAGACGGAAGCTAATTGACTTTCAGGATGACTAGCTTTCCTGATTTCCTAAGAAATTAGTAATGCTGCAAGCTGTGTACAAAGAGAAACCCTAAGTTTCAGAAATGGGGGCTATCAACTACTACAAAGAACCTTAAGCGCTTGAAAAATAAGGTAATGCTATTGTATAAGATGATTGGCATCCCAGACATGTTTGGAAAAGCATTCTTTGTTTCCCTGATTCTTTTTTTAAAACACTGTTAATTCAAAGTCCTTCTTTTCCAGCTGCGGGAGTCGGGCTATGTTTGAAGCCTTAGACGAAGCCCAGGAGCTACCTCTTGCTCTTTGCAGCCCTTACCAGAAGGGGACGGTGTTCATGGAGGTCAGCTGCTCAGCTCCGCAAGTGGAGGAGTCTTGCCTGCTGGTTAAAAGCCGAAGGGCCTGTTGGGAAAGAGGGTGGGAGGTGGGAAAAGAGGAGGAGGAGGAGGAGATGTGGGTGGGGGAACTTGGGTAGAGAGGCGGGGCGTATCGTATCAGTTCCTTTTTTTTCCCTCCTCCCCCCCCCCCGCCCATCCCCGCCCCTCTCCCTGCCCCCCTCCCCCCGCCCTGGCGGCCATGGACATTCCCAGCATCCCCTATGAGAGGCGTCTTCTCATCATGGCGGACCCGAGAGATAAGGCTCTGCAGGACTACCGCAAGAAGCTGCTTGAGCACAAGGAGATCGATGGACGCCTCAAAGAGTGTAAGTATTCTACCTTTTTGCGGACTTTTTGGCCCCCCCTCCCCCTGCTTCTCTTTTTGCCGAGAGGAGGCCCCCTTCTTGGGAGTCCCTTGACTGGCAGCACAAGGCGCTTTGTCATTGTGCCCGGAGCCGCGGCCGCTTAGAGCCGCTGGATGCGGCCTGGGTGGTGCGGCCTCAGCGTCGGGGCCGGGAGGAGGCCCACCCTGGGAGGAGAGAAGGGGAAGAGGCCCTATCCTGTTGCAGTTGAAGGCCGAGGATAGTGGAGAAGGTGCCTGGGCCTTGGGACGACTTGGGCTTCGAAAGTGAGAGAGGCTCTTGCTATAGGCCCCAAGGGATGTGAGCTGGAGGGGTTTAAGGAGGGAAGCTTTGGAATTAAGAATGCCAGGGCACGGGGAGAACACTTACACAGCTCACATAAAGGAATGTAGCTTGGTAAGTGTGTCTCCGAAGGGAAAAAACAAATAAAAATTTGTGGCTCTTGTGTTGGACCCTGTTAACCACCAGATGCACTTAGCTTTTTGCCCACCATTCATCTCCTAAACGAAAGGCATACCAGCATTTTTTAACACATCTTCTTTTTATTGGGCATTTGATCTCGTTTGATCTGAATAGCAGAATCTTGTGCTGTGGTCACAGAATGATCAGGATTCAAGACATTCTGAATTGGAGGCATGAAAACTATCATTCCTAATCTGTCAGTATACCTAAACAACCGTTGCTGAGAAAACGCATTAGCCAGTGGAAACAACTAAGATCATCAAACACATAGTCTTTGAAAGTCAGATTGCCGTTTGACTTAAAATCAACAATCACTCATTAGAAACAAGCTTAAATTAATAGATGTTTCTTTGTATAATCTCTCAGTATTTTAATAAGAAATTTGATATATCACAGATAAAGATGCTTTAGATTCGATAAAAACTAAACTGAATATATTTAAGTAAAATTTCCAAGTTGTAAACACTTGTTTAATATACAAGTTATTTTATTTCAGTAAGAGAACAGTTGAAAGAGCTTACCAAGCAATATGAAAAGTCTGAAAATGATCTGAAGGCCCTACAAAGTGTTGGGCAGGTAAGTTGTTTATTTGTTTGTAGTTTTGGCTATTGCAGGTAATTACATTAAGTAATAACACTTTTTTCTTTTGTAGATTGTTGGTGAAGTGCTTAAACAATTAACAGAAGAAAAATGTAAGTAGATGGTCAAAATATACAAAGTACATACAGAAATGCCTTTTTCCGTTGAAATATATCTGTTTGAAGGAACAATTTGACAAGCCAGGTTTTCCTTCAACTAGTAGTTTCTGAATTGTCATTTTTAATTTGGATGATTTAAATAAAGTAACATTCCTTCCTTTTAAAAAATGTACACATATGTATATGTCCATATTATGAACTTGACTGTCATGAACAAACATGAACATTTCCATATATGACAAGGTCAGAAAAAGAAACTGTACCACCTATAGCTTAGTGGTTTTTTGCATATTTCAGATGTAACATGGAATTACTCACATTGCCTTTTTTTAATGTGCCCCTTCTGAACTTCCTTTAATGTGTATTTTTTGGTGATGTTTTCTTTATTTTTTTTTTGTATGACTATCACTGCCTAGTAACAAATGAATATAATCAAACAAAATGAATTTGTGTTGTATTGGTTGGTCTGAAAATATGTATATCTCATTTGATTTCTTACAGTCTATTTTTTCTGTGCCAAAAGAGAAAAATATGATTTATCACTAGACTTTTGGAGTTGTCCTCTATAGTATCGTAGTCAGTGTATAAATTTTTCTTCTGGTTTTGTTCGCTTCGTTCTGCATCACTTCTCCTAGGTTTCTCAGAATCTGTCCCATTCATTTCTTACAGCAGGATAATATTCTATTTCATTTCTGTATCAGAATTTGTTTAGCTGTTCCCCAGTAATGGGCACCCACTTTATTTCCAGGTTTTTGATCGGATAAAAAGTGCTGCCATAAATAGTTTTATACATATAAAGAAGGCCTTTTCCTGTTGTTGTTTTTTAATATTTGTAGAATATATGCCTAATAAGGATATCAGGATGAAAGCATATGCACAGTTTTAGTGACTTTTGGAGTATTGTTCGAAACTGCTTCTTGCAAAAGTCTTTTAAAAAAATGATTCTGGCTTTTTTTTTCCTTTCTAGTCATTGTTAAAGCAACAAATGGACCAAGATATGTTGTGGGTTGTCGGCGTCAGGTAATTCAGTTTTACCTTTTTTCTTATTTGACCAAATATTCAGTCAATAAATTAATGAATAAATTCAATGAGTTTAGAAATAATAAAATTTTAGAGCATCCGTTCAGTTTTTTAGATGTAGAAACTAAGGCATGAAAAAGTTGAGTGACATTCAAAATTACACAGCTGGGTAGTAAAAGAGTAAAGATTTGAACTCTTAATTCCCAGTTGTGTGTTTCAAAGCACTATTAAGGTTTTTTTACTATTCAGTGAAGCCAAATTTATTGTTCACTTTGGAAAGCTATTACTTTAATTTCCTCACCTCTTATTCACTTCTTGACTTTTTGCAATCAGAATTGTGAGCCCAGTACTCCACTAAAACTGGTATCCTAAGATTTTCAGTAATTTATTAATTGCTAAATCTGGTGGCTTTTTCTTAGTGTTTAGCCTTAACCTCTCAGAACTTTTGACACTGCTAACCATGTATCCCTTCCTGGATACTTTTTCTTCCTTTATCTTTTATTTAATTTTATTTATTTCTTACATTCATTTTTAAATTTTGAGCTCCAAATTCTCTCCCTTCTTCCAGTCCCTCTCCTACCCATTGAGAAGGAAATTTCTTTAGCTTTTATGACAATATTTCTTGATTATCTTTCCAGCTCTTTAACTGTTCTTTCACAATTTACCTTGCTTTATAGTCATCCATATCCCTCTTAAATGTAGGTATACTCCAGTGTTTCGTTATGAGCCACTCTTTCTATATGCTGCCTTGGTGATCTTATCTGTGGCTTCTGTGCAGTTGTCTCCCAAATATACATATTGATTCAGCTCTCATTTCTTTCTGAAGTTCTAGTGTCACATCACTAGCTCCCTTTTACACCACTCCCAAACATAACATGTCAAAATAGATCTTTTTACCAAAATCCTGACTTTTCCTCTTGACTCAACTTTTTGTTTGTTGATGACACCACTATCCTTACAACCAATCAGGTTTGCAAACTTACTCATGCCCTGACTCTTCTTTCTCTTACTTTTATATTCATCCAGCTACCAGGACTGGCCAATTAACCTCCACAGCATTTTACGTCCATTGCCCTTTCCATTCACATAACCTCTCACCTGGCCTATTGCAATAGCCTGCTAATTCCAGTAGCTCCACTTAAAGTTCTTCCTTCTTGTGCCACTTCCTTTGTGCCACTTTGCTAAGACTCTTCAGTGGCTCTCTTGTTTCTAGGATAAAATGCAAACTCTTCTGTTTGGTATTTAAAGGCCTCCACAATCTGGCTCCCACCTCTTTCAAGTCTTATTCCATTTTACTTTCCCTCAAGTACACTCTATATTCTGGCCAAATTGGCCTCTTTGCTATTCCCCATATATGACACTCCATCACCCCAGCCCTGTGCCTTTGCCGTCACATAGCCTGTCTTTCATTCCTAGAATGCACCCCATTCATATTTCTGCCTTTTAAAAAAATCTCCCATGCTTCCATCAAACCTCAGCTTTAGCACTTAACTTCTTTCCTGATCTTTTTCTAGACCTTGCCTTTTACCCACCGAGTTGTTAATGCTCTACTGCTTCAGTTACATTATATTTTGTACATAATTCTTATTTACTTATTTATGTGTGTGTTATACTACAAATAGAATGTAAGCTCCTTGACGCAGGGGTTGTTTTTAGTTATTGTGTACCCAAGGCCTTGAATATAGTAAGGACTTATTTAGTGATCCTTGAATTAAGGTCTCAGGCCCAATCTTTTCTTTTATAGGGAAAGGATCATAGCTTGGTATAAGCCACATTTGGGAAAATTTGGTAGCTTAGGATTTTGATTGTAGAAAGATTGGTGTTGAAAGTGTCTGTTCTTTGTGTTAGTTATCAAGTCAATTTATAATTGTCTTACTAAAGTTACTCTTTGCCATTTGAAAATAAGAGTTAGAGTGAAAAATGTAGGGTGGACATTTTTATTATTATATATGTGATCATTTTACAAAGGTGATTGGTGAAGACACTTACAAGTGAAGGTACATTAGATATCAATCATCAAGCATTTATTAATCACCTGCTATGTGCTAGACATTGTGTTAAGTGCCCGGGATATAAAGACAAAAGTGAAACAAAACTGTCCACCTCAAGGAGCTTATGTGAGAGAGAAAGCATATACTATGTAGGGATATAAAAGACATACAAAGAAGACGCAATGTAACCTTGGCACTGATGGACCAGAAATGGCCTCCTGCAGATTACATTTGAACTGAATAATAAAAGAAACTAAAGATTCCAAGAGGCAGTGGTAAAGAGGGAGAGCATTTCAGGTATCAGAGACAGTGCAAAAGCTCAGAGGTGGAGTGTTATGTGAGTTAACAGTAAGTAGATTAATAGGGCTAGATTGTACTGTATAGGCATTCTGGGCTTGGCCTGACTCAAGCTAGTAGTTCAGGTTTGATATTAGAATAAAATAGGGCACTGTTAGGTCATTTAGCAGTTAGCAAAAGATTTACTTAGTTATAACTGTGGAGTTCTTCATGGTTGTTCTGTGCTTAGGTGATAAGAAAGAGATATTGACAGCCTGAGCCTTTATTCACCTGAACCAACCAAATTTTTTTTTTCAAGGAGAATTTGTTAATTTATTTTGATTTATCAACAATCACTTCCATAAGCTTTTGAGTTTTAAATTTTCCTCTTCCCCCCACCTCCCTCCCCTAAGATAGTGCGCAGTCTGATATAGGCTATACATATACATTCCTGTTAAACATATTTTGACATTAGTGATGTTGTAAGGAAGAATTAGAGCCAATAGGAGGAACCACAAGAAAGAGAAAACAAAACAAAACAGAAGGAAAAAAATAGCAAATAGTATGCTTCGATCTGTATTCAAACTCCTTAGTTCTTTCTTTGGATGTGGATAACATTTTCCATCATGAGACCTTTGGAGACGTTTTAGATCCTTGCATTGCTGAGAAGGGCTAAGTCTGTCAATGTTAGTCATCGCACAACATGGCTGTTACTGGAACCAACCAAATTTCTAAGGAAAAACTAGCCTAACTGGCCTGGGGGCAGGGATTAGAATACTGCCCCTACCATATTCCATCCCTTGGTAGTAAGGTCTGTAGAACTTTGGAGACATTATTGGTCACCCCTGACTTTACTGGAGGAAAAGAAAAACTAAAACAGTAACAAAGCAAAAACACAATATTTAACAGCTCCCTGAAGGAGTGAATAAATCAGTCTTATGAAGGACTGATTCAAGGCTAAGCGACTTATTTATAAATGACAATCCATGTTGTGGGTGATGACAGTCTTTGCCGTTTATGATGGTTCTAGCACTAGGTATGGTGACCTACTATAGGTCACCATAACCTGGATCAGTACCAGCAACATCAAGGTTGTCACACAGATGCTTACACATCCTTCATTGTTACCAGTATTTATAACAGGTCAGGGAGAATTGCCCAGTATCCATACTCAGTGTTCCCAAGTTCATCAGCCAGGATCTCCTCTTCCCTGGGAGTCCCATGGGTAAGAACAGTATAATATAGACTCTTTGTATCATTTGAGTTCAGTAAGGAACTTACCCTTTTCTGTGGGAGATGGGTAGACATTTTCACCTCCTCCAAATAGTGCCATCCCTTGATCTTCTCCAAGCCCTCCCTGGGGAGGAGTTGTAGCAATGGATATTATACTGTCAGCAATGTGAAAGATTTAGTCAATTTTAAATTGCAGTAAGCAGTGGACTATAGTACTTTTGCTTTTTGCTACTGCATACCAGTGCCTGTTCTTTTTTGATTAGTTGCCGCTTGTCTGTCTATTGCTATTGGGGCCTCTGTCTATACACTGCTTGTCTACTGCTGCTGGAGCACGCATCTTTGTCTGCTATCCTCTCTGCTAGGGTCAACTGCTACCGCCTATGCTGGGGCAGGACAACTGTCTAACAGAACTTAGGCTTTTCTCTCCTCTGTTGAGATAGGTATTGCCATAAGTCTGAGTGCTATTGGGATTGTTAGTGCTTTAGCCTGACTGCCCCTCTGTGGCAGGCCTAGCTCTACCTCTCTAGGAAGAAGTACCAGCCGGATGTGCATTGGTGCACCTACTTCTGCAGCCTGACTCTGTTCTCCTGTGCTGGGCTCTGTTATATTAGCTCAGCCTTTTGCTGAACCACCACAGTTGATGAAGTTAGGCATTGCAAAACCACATGACTCAGGAATTTCCAAATGACTCTGACCAATCATGTCAGGGCCTAGATTTTCCTACCTGTCAGTGGTCATTCTTTCCATTGCAGAAATTACTTCTGCTGCCAGTCAGCCTTCATTGAAGTACACAAAAGCCCCTGACATCTTAAATTCAAAAAGTTACCACCAAAATTAGGAATGATCAATTCAGTTTCACCTACATTTCAGGGTAGGGGAGAGCACCTGGAGCCTAAGATCTGCAGGGTCCCCTCACTGGAATCTCTAGAAAGAAAATTATAGTCCATAGTTGGGAGTGAAAATGGAATCTTTTTTTTTCTTTTTTGGCTAGGCAGCGGGTTTAAGTGATTTGCCCAGGGTCACACAGCTAGTAAGTGTTATGTGTCTGAGGTCAGATTTGAACTCGGGTCCTCCTGAATCTAGGGCTGGTGCTCTATCCACTGCACCACCTAGCTGCCCCAGAAGGTGGAATCTTTTTAAACCGATGCAGCACCCCTACCTGTTCTGAACAAATTAATAGGGGTGCAGTTTGTACATTTGTCTATAACCCTGATTCCCAGAAGATCTCTGGGCTCCGAAGGACCTTTGAACATTGTCCTTTCCCCTGGTGGTTTACACCAAAGAATCAAAACAAAGGCCATATGGTAGAATTCCCTTTAGTTTCACAAGTACCAAAACAGGGAGAGAAGGGGAAAACAAAAACCCCCCAAACCCTTAGAATATCTTCAGCATAATTGTTAGACAATCCTAAAATTCCAGAAATTTGCCTTAGTTTGTATTCACTATTGAGGTCTCTCTTGCCACCCTTAACTACCTGGCCATATTCTCCTACTGTTGTAG